GCGGCTTCGCCGCAGATAAAATAATAAAGTCAGTTTTGAAAAAGTTAATTAGCCGTGGGTAACAATATATAATTACTCTTGGAGTAAGCCGATTGCGATCCGCTAGACTCAAAATTGTTCTGAGTATAGAACGAGAGGTCGGTGACCTAACTTACGCTTCCTCAAAGCGCAAAGCTACTGCAGCCCCGCTTCAAGAAGATTGTCTTTGACCCTGTCAAAGGTCTCCCCACACGAAAGTTGTGGCATATAGTGTGACATGTATTTTGGTTTTTATAACGTAAACTATCAATGACACGCAATTTAGAGTACTAGACGCTTGACTTTATGTATGCAGATAGCCCATTCTTTTTACTTGCCTCTATCCAAACTATATACAAAAAGTCGATTTATCCCAGAAATCCATCCGACCCTAGCAAAAAGAACAGTCAAAAAGTATATGTGCTTCGTAAAGTACGGCGGTAGCGTTTATCGGATTCTGATTGCAGGAACCTTGAGGTGTACACGACAGATGCTGATGATCTACATGTTAATGGGATAGTTTGTGAAGGGACACATGCGTAAAGATTGTATTTGAAAGCGGTGGGTGCCGCATTGAATGCGGAGTACAGCTTCCGGACCACGAGGGCTGAATCAGATAAATCATATGGTCGCTTGCGTATGGACTGTCTAAAAGGTTCGTCGTTTTCGCACTCGACTTGTACAAGTAGGTAGGGTCGCCTCTCGGGAACTAAGTCTTCAGTGAGCATTTTTGTTACGCTCGAGTGTTAAACCTGGTAATTGTCAAGGCTGACGATAAAAACAAAGGGGTAAAGCGTATGCAACATGGTTGCCAAGCAATTTGCACAAAAGAGGTTTGACTCAAAGAGTCCGCGTATAGAGATTGGGCTCATTCCCTTAAATGAGGAGTGGAATTGAGAGCCTCAAGGTGAATGAAAGCTCCTGAGACCCAGTTTGCACATTTGCATTTTGATATCATTAATATAAAACTGACTTAATTAACTGACGTACCCCTCACATTCAAAATCGTTATAGAAAACCAGCTGTATTTTTTTAAATTTGTCCGTAATGTATTTTATGCAATTAATTGTGAAGGGATGCCTTTCTTAAGAGCAAATATCATTCACAGCTCAGTCTTTTTGAGAATATATAAAAATAATTTCAGCTGTGACGAGACATCACGTGAGCGGCTCTCACGATGGGTGTGGATCAGATACATTCAGTCACTGTAGGAGTGACATATTGTGTTGGCTAAAAAAAAGAATATATTCAATGAAGCAGCACAGACAACCGAAAATCCCTATATTTTCTTAGCAAAGCGTCCCTAAATGAATTTCGTGACAATTTTGGTTTCTTCACAATTCTGGGAATTTGTGGTTTTAGTAAAAGTTCAGTAAGCACCAAGGTAAGAAAGAAGACACTGAAAGTAAAGATGCAATTTTGAATTTAAACATATGTACGGTTGCTTATCGTTGCAATTTGAAAGAAAATGAACATTACTGCTGATCCGGTAGTTATTGATCCACACGGTAGTAAGTCGATCCTCACAGTGGTAAGGGCAGTTGGACGGCGGGAAGAGAATCAACAGGAGTCATTTCCGCGCCGCCATTCGTGTTGACACTGAACTTGATGCATTGCGGGTGGTCAAGGTTTCCGTACACATCGCACGACGTCTCGGGACGAATGCTGATAACAAAATCAGTGTCTTCGTACACTCGCTTGAAACCGTTGCCGATCTGCGGATCGTATACACTCAAGTCATCGATTGTCAGCGTGAACGAGACGTCCATGGACTCTCCAGGCTGCAGCTCGATTTTGTTGAACTTTTTCAATTGTTTCACTTCAGGTACTGAAATGAGGCGGAATGGCTGAGTTACGAAAAGCATAACCACCTCTTTACCGGCTCGGTCACCGGTGTTCGTGACGGTCACAGTAGCTGTCACAACATCGGATGCGCTTGACATGACCGTTC